GTTTCTTCCTTCGGATACCTCACGATGGCGGTTATGCTCGGGGACACACGCCAACCATATCCTAACTTTAGTAGGCGTGAGTTTGAGGAGACCAAGAGTGGTGGGAGGGACTGATTTGCTTGTTTGTGTTGTTTCTAAATTTCATGTTGAAACTTAATGCTCTTTAAAAAAAAAAAGTCCCTTGTGGGTGGGATTGAGATCCTTAAAAGAGGTATTCCGTGGCCCCTACATAGAGGTCAGAGGACAACTTTTTCAAGTCAGTTCTTCTTCTACCATGTGGGTTCCAAGTTTCAAACTCAAGTCCTTAGTGGTGCTTAGTGGCAAGCACCTTGACTCACTGAGCCATCTCACCATCTTCACGGGCACCACACTGAAAGCAGACAGCAAACCGCTGGCAATTTGACCTTGGACTTCCTAGCTTGCACAGCTGTCCTACAAATTTTTGTCATTTATAATCCTCCCAGTTAAAATAGACAGGCACAACAGAATTCAGTTCCTGAATGGAAATGGTATATTAAAGATTGTGCCCAGATAAGATACCAAGGGACCAACAGGCTCTGCAGGCTAACTTATTACCAGGAACAGGGTGACCTATACTGGATGGTCTGGCTCCTTCTATGGTTTAAGGTCCAGGACTCAGAGGTTATGCCCACTGATGTCGTGTGGGTGCACTGGGCATGGCTGCCATCCGGCCACTCTGTGGCTGTCTTTTGACCTAGATTGGACATAAATAACCTATCCAACAGGCCCTGCATTATTTGGGCCATGCTGGCCACTTCTGCCACCACATCAGGTTACATCTTTGCTGGCTCCCATGCCATTGCCAACAGCCAGGACACTGGTCAGTGTGGCAGCCGAATGAATGGACTGTCCAAGGATCCCTGTGTGAGGACAAGGACCATGGCAACAACTTGTTGCTCAACTGGAATATACACAGGCCGCTTGTGTGGAGGTTGGGAATTCATGGCCACTCTTAAAAGAGCTATGTCATGTGTAAGTTTAGCTCTTCTGGGGGACTTCCTTCACCGGGACCAAGAATCATCCTTCAGTGTTCAAGCAGCATGGCAGTGCACTCCCACCCATGACACAGAATAAATACGCTGTCACCCTCAGATCAACGGGATTATTAAAGGGTGGAGCATGGCCCCAACAGTAACTGAGGATGGGACATCAAATGACCTGCTAGTAGGTAGTAGCATCTGACTAGGGCGCATGGACATTAAACCCGCACTTCCAGCAGAAGAAACTGTCCTGCTGCTGAGGGCCACTGAGCTTGTATGTGGAGGTGGACAGGTCAACTGCCCTACTACCATGCTCTGGTATACCAGTCATTCTTTGACCTCTGCCCCTTTGGAGTGTACATCTTGGGGTGGTCCTCTAGAGCCCCAGATAGGAGCTCTGACTCTGACCTGGCCACAATGAATCCCCTCCATGCCTTCCTTCAATGGGATCCCATGGGTGGACAATGGAAACAAGGGATGCCAAGGTGCTCAGACCCCTCAGTGCCACCAGGGCCACCTGACCATGAAAATGGGTGACATTATCACAGCTGTCAAGTTTGGGCAGAATGTGACTTCCGTTACTGAAATGGACTGATGAGTAAAGTGAATTGAAGGATACATGACTGCTCCAAGTGGATAAACATGGCCAGTAGACTGAACCGGGCCATGGGGGAGGGGGAGCAAGAGAGGGAGGCGAGAGGGAGGGAGCAAGAGGAGGGTCGAAGAGGCAAGAAAACCAAGAGGGCACATGGACAAAAGTGACAGGGTTATATCAGAAAGAGAGCCTGGGGTGGGGAGGGGAGGGGAGGAGGGGGCAGACTGAGAAGAGCTGAGAGAGAGGAGCCACTGGTACTGAGTGAGCCTAGACCAGCATTCCCTTTGGTATGCTAATAGGCACCAGAGTTCGCCCTGTGTCCAGAATTTCTTTGGGACCCAACATAAAGGTCATATTTTTTTCTCCAATTTCAAGTATAAAGACACACACACACACACACGCACGCACGCACGCACGCACGCACACACACACGCACGCACACACGCACACGCGCAAAGTGATTTTGATCCAAATGTGCTGGAGTTAAGTGAGCATAAACAGAAAGTGTCAAGAAAAAAAATTTCAGAGCACTCTTTTCCTTTTCTTTTGGCTTGTGCTGGGAAAGGAACCCAGACAAGTTGAAAGACAAAAAAGTAAAGTTAAAGACCACCCCCCCCACACACACACACACACTTGAAATAAAGGACAGTCTGACCTGGAATTTGCTAACTTCCCCTCACAAGGCCCTGAGATGGCAGCGTACCAAGAATTCACACTGCCCCTCCTTTCCGTGAGTCAGCAGGTGGTGAATAGGGTCCTTAGGAGACAAAGAGATAACTGTACCTCCGGTTTGCCCAGACAAGATTAATTAGCACACCCTAAGGTCTGTTGACCCTAACAGTGAGACCACCCGGCCTCAAAGGGTCAAGTACTCAATGGACAGAGGGTCCCACCCCCTCCCTAAGTTTGTGGGTTTTGCCTTTAAAACACCTGTGCCCAGGGGATGGGGCTTCTCTCTAATCCTGCATGCAGAGGGAGCCCGTTTGTGCGAGTGATTCCTGTTCATTAAAGCCTCTTGCATGTTGCAGCAACTGGACTAGACATTGAGTTCTTGGGAGTACCAACCGAAACTGGGAGACTCCTCCTTCTGAGGGTCTTACAAAGTGCTTTCCTGTGGAGCTGAACCTCCTGCCCTGGATCTTGAATTTCAGTCTTTGGATTTTCACTTTAGTCTGTTTGACTGCAGGCCAGGAGGGGGCTCTCCAGGTTTGTTGGAAATGGCAGTGAAGTTGCCAGATCTGATCAAACCATGGCAACCTAACTATGACAGCTGTAAACTCTATTCTCTTGTTGGTTTTCAGACTGTGCCTCTCTTCTTTGGGGGGGGAGAATGGTATGTGTGTACACTTTTGTGTGTGTGTATACCTGTGTCTGTACACCTGTGTGCTTACACCTGTGTGTGTGTGTATATATGTGTGTACACCTGTGTGTGTGTCTGTACACGTGTGTGTGTGTGTGTGTGTGTGTGTGTGTGTGTGTGTGTGTGTATGCAGGTCCATGATACATGTGCATATTGAAGCCAGAGGTAACATTGTGAGTCTTCCTCTATCATTCTACACCTTATTTTTTGGGACAAGGTCTCCCACTGATCCAGTAATCCCCTGGTTCAACAAGACTAGCTGGCCACTGAGATATTCTTAGGATTCACTTGTCCTACCTGAACTCAGGTTCTCAAGCTTGGGTGGGAAGTGAGTTACCAACTGAGTCATCTCCCCATCCTCCTTTCTCTTTTTCATTAGGAATACATTCCCAGGTCCAACAAACAACAACCCACGGAGTTGGTTTACTAGCAAACAGTAGGACTCTTTCTTGGTCCTTCTGAAGAGAGCCAAGAAGCAGTGAGAATTTCTGGGACATTATTATAGATCCAGACACTTCAAGGGAGAATAGAGTCCTTCAAGGTAATGATGGTCTGTGCAAGTTAATTCTAATTTTAGTTTGATGCAGAGGAGATGTGTTCAAAGTTGAAGTCTAATAGTCAAGAATGTTGGCTTGGGGCTTCTGCAGCCTGGTATGGTCATTGAACTAGTTGTGAGACCTGAAAGGTAGAGCAGTCAAGGTTGTTGTTTGGAACTGGCACTCTGCTACATTAACCAAAGAGATCTCAGCCCCCAACTCCCACCCCCGCCCCAAGAGACTACAAAGATACTTCCACCCCCTTCCACACGCCCACAAAAAGGACTCCTAGAGTTTTACATTGTTTCAGTGTAACACAAAAGGGAATTGTCTGACCTGTAAGAGGTGACATTTATCCTCACGGGCCATTCACACAGCTCAGAAAGAAATAATTTGTTAGGTCTCTTAAGATAGAGAAAGGGCTAGAAGCGAGGAAAATACAGCTCCCTGAGAGTCCGCACAAGCTTCTGGTTTCATTTTTTGCTAGTTAGCAGTCACCCGGGAAGGAGCCTCTCCACCCAGTCCTGGCCTGCCAGGAGGACACTCCCCTTCCGCATACTATAAGGGCTGAAGCTGGCCCTGGGAGCCTCTTACTAGAACTGCAGCAGCTGGAGCCTATAGCAGGTAAGATTCGCGGGTGGCATCGCAGGGAGGTGGCTGGCAGGGAGTAGGCCAGACTTCTCCTTACTGTTCTTTGAAACCTGCCTGCTCCCTGCACAGCATCCTCACCCAAGGAAGTCTCGCTCCTCGGGGGATTCCCAGCCACCCCATGTCTGGGCCAGAGGGAGGGCAATCCCAGTCAGAATTTTCTTTCCCTCGGCTCCCTTTTGGAACTTTGAGCTAAGGGACAATTCCCTGCAGGGAAGCTAAAAGGGGAGCTGGTGAAATCCTAGATCCTCAATAATGAGAACTGGATTTGGCCCTGGCCCGGGCGCTAAGCAACACTGGTGCCCACTGTTTGCAAAGGGGACTGGGGAGATGGGGAGAGTGTTCCTCTTCCCTGACTCCAGGAGAGGGGCTTTCTGAAACTTGCACATCCCACTCCAGCTGAGACTGCAGCCTTGACCTCAGGCACGGAGAACTGAATCCCTAAAATGATATCATTGTTATCTTCACCATGATTTGCTTGTATGCAGACAAGTAGGTCAATGTGATTTTCTGGACTTATTTGCCCAGATGAACAAGGAATTGACTAATGCAGGGAGGAAGGGAGGGAGGGAGAGAGAGAGAGAGAGAGAGAGAGAGAGAGAGAGCTCCAGACAGAAGGCTGTGTAGTGTGGGGACTGTGCCAAGGTCACTGGCCTGGTCCCTCTTCAGACACAGCTGTCTGGAAGGTTAGAATCATAAGACACCCTGGGCCCTGGGCCTGTGTCACTGCTGAAGTCTGGCCCCAGCTTTGTATGCCTGGGGGAATATTCTTGTCCTCCGGACTGGATGGGATGGGAGCCCGGGAGATTTCAAACTGCAGGGTATTAGTGGTGGTTGGAAAAGTTGGTCTTGCTGGTATAGCAGTTGGCAATGCTGACTCCCCTTTGTTACAGCCTTCACCATGGAGCAGCTGAGCACCGCCAACACCCTCTTTGCCTTGGAGCTGTTCCGCTCCCTGAATGAAAACTCCACGGGAAATATCTTCATCTCTCCCTTTAGCATTTCGTCTGCCTTGGCCATGGTCTTTCTGGGGACCAGAGGCAACACTGCAGCCCAGCTCTCTAAGGTTAGTGGAAGCAAAGCTGGCCAGCTCTCACTCCCTGCAAACAGCTGTGCCTCTGAGTGTGTTTTCTAGACCGCGCTGAACTGGGTTCAGTAGTTGCTCAGCCTGCAGTCAGGCTTTTAGAAAAGTCCCCCAAGAACAGTCAGTCGTTCGTTGTCTACCAGCTTTAACTGAGCACAGGGCTCTGTTTCTGTTCAGCCGGGGACACAGAGTGGACAAAGACAACAAAACCTGCAGGCTTGGTGCTCCTTTTCCCAGGAGTGGACCTGACAGCTTTCCACACTGCCCACCTCCGCAGAGCTGGCTGTTTCCTGTCTGCATTTTGCATGGACCGCCTCTACTCATAAATCCTGCCTGTGATAATGTCACCGTTAAGCATGTGTGATGTGGGAACATGCTACAGTAGGCATGGTGGTGGTTGGTAGGGACAAGGCGAAAGACGGCCACCTGTCTATGTTCCCAGGGTTAACCGCCTGACTCTCTCTCCCTGTGGTCTGGTGAAAGGGACCAACACTCCACCACACACACCCCAGCCCTGGTGAAAAGGAACACTCCACCCCACCCTGGGAGACAGCAGGTCACCTTTGCCCCCGTCCTCGAAGATTCCTAGTCTTCCTTAATGGTTGTGGAGGGGACTTCTGCTCTTGGTGTTAGTTGAGAGGGGAATTCTGCCACCTTTGGAAGCCTAGACAAGAGTAGGGAAAGTGTTTCCTAACTCACCTGCCTCTGGCCTCACACCTGCACCTGCCACCTGCATGTGCTTCTCAATGGTCACATCTCCTTGAGTGTGGCAGGTTTTACACGGGCTGACAACTTCAGGAATTAAAAAAAAAAAAAAAAGAATCTCAAGCCTCCCCCTTCCTCCCTCCCCCCCCCCCCCCCCCCCCGTTCACTCTAGTAGGTGTGTCTAAGTAGCAAACCTTGGTGAGTAGCATGGACTGTGGACCCACTGCGCTTTTTGTCCTTTGTGACAGAGTGAGTAACCAGCCCAGGACTCATAAAACCATAAAGGGCCCGTAGATTTGCAACTCATAGATAAGGAATTAAACTCTCACCCGAGTAAACTTAGGGAAGTGAGTTGTGGACTATAGTAAGCTAGACCAAAGAAAAAAGCCTCAATCTGTCTTACCGTTTAGGTCTCACTTACTTCACTGTTTATTTATTTCAGAAGTTTTTTAAAAAACAGAATTGTACATGCCCCAGAATATAAACATGCACATACCATTTAATCTCCTTTTGGGAAAAATATATAAATATTTAGTGTGTAAAAAGTATTTAGAAGCCATGTCTAATGTCATTATTATGTCTCACATAGCCGTACATTTCCTATTCCATTTTGTTTGCTCTTCCAATGACATATTAATAAAACTCTGGGTTGGAGCTAATCAATATTAGGGAAAAAATAATTTGATGGAAGCAGACACCAAGGAATCACTTCATAACTTCAAAATACATGATTGTATAAAGAATGTTTTCTTTACCTTAGACCTTTCACTTCGATGCCGTGGAGGATGTCCATTCAAGGTTTCAAAGCCTGAATGCTGAGGTGGGCAAGCGTGGAGCCTCTCACATTCTGAAACTTGCTAACAGACTGTATGGAGAGAAGACCTACAACTTCCTTCCTGTAAGTACCTAGACTTCACATCTTGAAACTTCCTGAAGTGGCACAGTGATGGGGGATGTCCTTTGGTATGCTGTGAATATCTTTCTCTCTTTGGTTAATTAATAAAGCTGTTTCAGCCAATGGAAGGGCAGGATTTAGCCAGGCAGGAAATCTAAACAGGAATAGAGAAAGGTAGTAGGCAGAGTCAGAGAGAGATACCATGTAGCTACTGAGGAAGCAAGAGACCCGGGCATCACTGGTCAGTCAAGACCATATGCAGACACCAAGATTAGTAGAAATGGGTTAATAATTAAGAGAGAGCTAGACAATAAGAAGCCCAAGCCATTGGCCAAACAGTTTATATTGAATATAAGTTTATAATGAATATATTGATTATATTACTATAATTAATATAAAGTTTATAGTTAATTATTTGGGATTAAATGGCTACAGGACCAGGCAGGACAGAGACTTCTGTCTATAGTACAGGCTTTTCCCAGGACGGCCATATCTTAGGTTCATAAAAACAACAGAGAATGCATGCAGAGCTTTCATCTCATAATCTTTCTATGAGACCCTTCCTCCATGCTTTATTAAAACAAGAGCAGGGCTGAGAGGATGGCTCAGTGGGTAAGAGAGCTTCCTGTGCAAGGATGAGAACTTGAGTTTAGATGCCAGCACCCATGAAAGATGCCAGACATGGCCTCATATTCTCCTGGAATCCCAGAACCTCGAGGAATGGAGTTAGGATGGTCACGGCCTTGCAGACCACCACCCTAGCCAGGTTCAGGGAGAGACCTTGTTTCGAGGGACTAAGGCAGAGAGTAAGAGCAGGGCACCTGATACCCTTCTCTGGCCTCCATAAATGCGTAGGTATGCACACCCATATACACATATCCACACACATACATCACACACACACACACACACACACACACACACACACACACACACACACACACATGCACACACACAAAGCAAAAGCAGATCTGAAAAGCCACTTGAAATTTAATTAACATTTGCTGGTTTGTGAAATGTTGATGTAGGATTCAAAAAGGAGTTAGTGACCTTTGTATTAACACCACAAATGTTAAATAAAGGGCTGCACTGACCATTACTGCAGGTATACTGCAGTATAACCTTAAAAAATGGTTGGGACAGTAAATTTAGTGTTGTGCATTTTTTCAACCCAACAGAAAAGTATAAAGGTTAGGTTTTAATTAAACTTCTTAATTATTTTTTATGACTTCTTATCTTTGGGAGATTTTAGAAAACTTCTGCAGGGAATAGAAGCTATTCATGGCACTTTCTTTCTTTTAAAAAAAAAATAGGAGTTCTTGGATTCAACTCAGAAAATGTATGGGGCTGACTTGGCCTCCGTGGATTTTCAGCATGCCTCTGACGATGCAAGGAAAGCCATAAACCAGTGGGTCAAAGGTCAAACCGAAGGTGAGAAGCTGAGCAGCTCTGGCTTCCCTTGCTGTTGCTCATAATTGACAGACACAATTGGCTTATGGAGAGAAAAGGCTGATTTTGCCTCATGGTTTTGGCAGTTCCCGTCTATAACCGATTGGCCCTATTGATTTGGTCCTACGGTAACACAGTGCCTGTGGTGACCGGCAGAGGAGGCCCATTCACCTCACTGGTGAATAAAAAGGAGGAGGGAGAGGCCAGTGTATTATCATCACTTTCAACAGCTGCATCCCTCCAAAGTAGGTTTGATGATGAAGACCTACAGTCCCTGCACTTGGGAGACTGAAGCAGGAGGATTGCTTAGAGTACAAATGGCAAGGCCCTGTCTCAAAATAAAAACCACATCCCCCAGTGACCTAAATAATCCTACCTTTTCAAGGTTTTGCTGCCTTCCGGTGCTTTATGGACCAGAGACCAAACGTTTAGGACGTGGACATTTGGGGAACCTTCTGAACCACAGCAGAGCCATTGTGCAGAGTCTTACTCCCCCTCTGGGCTATCACTTGCTTCTCTTCCTTTCTCCCTCCCTCAACTTCCCAAATCCTGACCTACGTGCGCTGACACTCAGGTCCCATTCTCTTGTATAAGGGACAACTTCAGATGTCAGAATTTTGTGAGTGAGAAATGCAGACACGATTTAATGGAACCAGTTGAGTACTTATGGGTTCTCCTAAACTACATTGTAAAGTAAAAACCAACATTGCAATGCAGAATAAAATTAATAAAAATGCCTCCCACAAAGTGTTTAGTGCTGGTATTGGAAGAGACAGGTTACAGTCAGAACATTCTTGGCCAGCATCTTTTCCAGTAACTGGTGTAGTGTGTGACTCACCCTCTGGGCTCAGTTCAGCTCTGTGATGGCTGAGTCAGCACGCAGGGGATCATGTCAGCTCCCACCCAGCAGTGTGCCAGGCTGTGAGGAGAGTGACTTCTGCTTCAGTAGATTTATCCATTGCATAAGTCTTACCTCTTGGATGTTCGTTAAAAGTCCTCTTCTACTTAGCAGATTTGAAGACATAATTTTCCAGTGAACAGAAACATTTCCACTAAGACATTTTGTTTGTTTTCTGTTAAAAAAAATCATTTGCAAGATAACGACTATTTGTTTAACACAAAATAAAGTGTGAAGCCTATATCTGAATTACATTCCAGAGCTAATAAATTACTGGTTCAATTTTGGAATTCCAATGTGGAGGTTTAAAAAAAAAAAAAAAACCAAAAACTGACTTTATCATTTCAGGGAAAATTCCAGAACTGTTGGCTGAGGGTGTTGTTGACAGCATGACCAAACTTGTGTTAGTGAATGCCATCTACTTCAAGGGACTGTGGAAGGAGAAATTCAGGAAAGAGGACACAACCAATGCTCCCTTCCGACTCAATAAGGTCAGGTGACATTGCCTTCCTGGGCTGCTCTTGGTGTGTGTGTGTGTGTGTGTGTGTGTGTGTGTGTGAGTGCCAGGGATATACCACAAAGCCTCCCCTAGTAAGCCAGGCTGCTACCACTGAGAACTCTACCCCAAGACCCCAAATTCCTCCCTCCTCTGAAAGACAAAAGGGAATAATTTGAGTGATTTTTTTTCTTTTCTTTCTTTCTTTCTTTCTTTCTTTCTTTTTTTTTTTTTTTTTTTTTTTTTTTTTTTTTTTTTTTTTTTTTTTTTTGTAACCATTCAGAAAGACACCAAAACAGTAAAGATGATGTATCAAAAGGAAAAATTTCCATTCGGCTACATTGAGGATCTGAAGTGCAAGGTGCTGGAGATGCCTTACCAGGGTGAAGAACTTAGCATGGTCATCCTGCTGCCGCAAGACATCGAGGATGAGTCCACGGGTCTTAAGAAGGTACCTGGTTCTCAGCATCAGGACTTGTGTTTCCTTTCACTGTACTGCACTTACGCTTCCCGTGTGCACGTGCACCATATGGGCTAGCTGTGCATCCAGTCTTTATGGGAAATCCCTTGCCAGGACGCCGCCATTTTTGTTAATGTAGTCCATCAGAGTTACCCTTTTGAGGCCTCCCTCATGCTTATACAGTTATTGGTGTTATTATTATTACTTATTATTTGAAGTGCTCAAGTGCCTTGTGCTAAGTAAGTGTTCTGTCACCAAACCATACTCCCAGCCCAGAAGCCTACAGTTTAAATGTTCAGAATATCTGCTGCTTTCAGTGAGCATCGCGATAGAAGCATCTAAGGATGCGGAGGGAAATGTAGCTGTGATGAGTGGCCCCTCACAGAAAGTCTCTCAAAGTATCTTTTAAGAAAGAAGCGATTTACATCTTTGGGGATGTCTCCTGAAAGGACTAGAAGTAGACACAATTGTGAAGATTACAGTTTTTCCTCAGAAATCCTGGGCCACTATGTGGCTTAGCTCTTGTTCCTTTCCACCCTGCACTTGCAATCAGAAAGGACCCTGCTATCGTTCTCATGTACAGATTAGGGACTGAAACGAATGTAGTCTTTTTGTCAGTTGTATCTTCTTTGTTGATATTTATTTTATTACAAAATGAGGCTCTAATCTCAAGAAAGACATTTCTGCTATCCATAAGATAAATGGTTCTGTTCTTGCCCAGTAGTGGAACAATAATATTTGATATTTACATGGTACTTACTATGTGTCAAACTCTTCACATACATCAATTTACTCAATGGTCACAACAGTGCTGAAAAGTTGGTGCCATTAGTACCCTTATTCTATGTATCTGTTCTACCCTACTCTACTCCACTCCATGGACAAGGTCTTGCTGTGTAACCTAGATGGGCCTTAAGCTCACTGCCTTCTGTTAGTGGCTCCCAAATGCTGGCATTGCAGGCTGTGTGCCCCATGCCAGCCATTTGCCCTTGTTTGAAATGAACTAAGACCTATACATCTTGTTCCTTTATTATTAGAGATTCCTTGTTATTAGAGATTATTTCAACTATTGTGGAGTTTATAGATCACTACAACTTTAGGAGGTTTCAGAATAAACAGGAGAAACTTCTAAAATTTCCCTTGTACCATTTAAGCAAGTATGATAGTAAAAGCTGTGATGGCCTATCAAAGTGATTCAGTGTGTTAGGGGTTTAGGAAATCCCAAGTGGATGGAGGAATGGATAGATGGGTGGGTTAGATGAGGAGAAGGGAAGAATACAATAAATGAAAGGAGTGAGTGAAGGAGAGAGAGATGCGTAGGTGGGTGGATGATGAATGGAGAGAAGGATGGATAAGCAGATGAGTAGGAGGGTGAATGAGTGGATGACAGCAGACATGTGTTAAATGTCTTTGTATTTAGACCCTCAAGGACCTAGAAAATAGTTATTGTATTCCATCAACTGATAGATAAAAATGAAATCTAAGTAGACTCTATTTGAGCAGAAAGCATGAAAGAAGCCATATGAACAGCAATTGTGAATCCATTCACTTAAATAGCGCCTCATTACAGTAACAAATTAACTTCTTTCTGCCTTACATTGATTCTAGATCGAGGAGCAATTAACTTTGGAAAAACTTCGGGAATGGACCAAGCACGAGAACTTGGAAAACATTGATGTCCATGTCAAATTGCCCAGATTCAAGCTGGAGGAGAGCTACATCCTCAACTCCAACCTTGGCAGCCTGGGAGTGCAGGATCTCTTTAGCAGTAGCAAGGCTGATCTGTCTGGCATGTCAGGATCCAGAGATCTTTTCATATCAAAAATTATCCACAAGTCCTTTGTGGAAGTGAATGAGGAGGGAACAGAGGCCGCCGCCGCCACAGGAGGCATTGCTACATTCGCCATGTTGATGCCTGAGGAAGAATTCACGGTGGACCATCCATTCCTTTTCTTCATTCGGCACAATCCCACAGCTAACGTGCTCTTCCTTGGCAGAGTTTGTTCCCCATAGAAGAGACTTTTAAGGTACAAGGCAGAGCTTAGAGTTTATTCCCTGAGATTTTAATGATGATAATTTTCATTTGTCCTTGCCAATAAAACTTCTGCTCAGAAACCAACCTTTAGTTTTCTTTGTACATTTAACCCCATTGGCTTTTTATTTCCATGTCTTTCGGCGTGAGTGTCTAATTTGTTTTTTAACATTGACAATATTCTAATGGTTGCTGAGTGCAACACATCTATTTATTCTTTTGAATAAATCAGATGTATAGATTCTTGACCATGAAGTAACCTATGGAATTGACATACTCTCCTGACAGGCATGAGAATGGAGAAGGTATGCCTTTTTTTCAAAGAGAATTGTTTCTCAGGCTAGAATTAGATTAATGAGAGGGAGAGGGGGAGGGAGAGAGATGGAGAGAGAGGGAAGGAGAGAGAGAGAGAGAATGAGAACCAATAAGTAATTAATGAATCCCAAATAGCAATTACTATCTAGTTTACCTTATGCTTTGTGATATGAAACCAGAAGCACTCCTTTGGATGGGGCTTGAGATGCTGCATTTTGTTCTTCCATAGACTCTTGATTCATTAGACTCTGCAAGCCAGATGATGCCCATTCTATTCTCTCTCTCTCTCTCTCTCTCTCTCTCTCTCTCTCTCTCTCTCTCTCTCTCTCTCTCTGTGGGTGTGTGTGTGTGTGTGTGTGTGTGTGTGTGTGTGTGTGTGTGTGTGTGTGTGTGTGGTTCCAGGCAAATTTAAGGCTCCATTCACAAGGGCAATTGGTGAGTGAGGACAATTGGTAGTGATGACTCCGTAGCTTAAAAACAAAACTGTAACATCACCAGGAAGCTTTTCAGTCTCTTCTCCCGACTCCCCCACTCAAATACTATCGCCTACCATACTCCAGGTTCTTCTAGACTTAGGAGAAAAGAAAAGCAGTGGACGTTGCCTCTAGTTCTGCCTTTTGGGCTGTTTCCTTTAGTTTGGAACTGGAATGTTCCCCCCAAAGACCCATGCATTAATAGCTTTGTCCTCAATGTAGCGTTACTGGGAAATGATGAAACTTTTCAGAGGTCGGAACCTCAAGGAAAATCTTCAGATCATAGTGGGCTGTGTCCCGGGGGGGGGGGATTACAGACTCCGTTTCCTTACTGCCTGCTCCATGTCTTTGCCATGTGGCTTTCCCACCAAGACCATGTCATCATAGACAAGAGTTTGAGACTGAGACCAAGTCATCCTTTGCTCTGTATAGACTGCTTATCTAAGGTACTCATCATGGTAATGGGAAGCTAACACACTCCTCTAGCAAAACCCACTGTTTTCATTCTAAGTACTTCTCATCATACAGAAGTGTAATTTCTAAGCAATTCTGGGCAAATTCTTTTTACCTCTGAGCTAACTACAACTACATTGTCAAAGGTCAACCATATTCTAAGTCCTGGATCACAGAATGGATTCTGATTCGCATTTTTTTTGGGGGGGATGGGGAACACATTTAATTCATGCCATGATAAACCAGTTAATGCAGCCCTTAAGACAACTAAAACTCGAAGCAATAATATAGTCAGCAACGAAATGCTAATGGAATGAGAGGTATTACTGCAAGAGCCAAGAGAAAACTGCAAACACGGCGGCAAATTTGGCCACCTGTGCCTCAACAGCACTTGTCAGTATGAAGGTAACAAGAACCAAATGGCAGATTGTGTCACTGTTAAGGCAATGGGAAACAAGAGTTTAGCCTTCCAAGAGTGGGGACCCCATTTTTGCATGACCCCCCCCCAGAATGTGCACGAGAAGCTAACAGTGCAGCTGTGCTGGAGCCATTGGACAATCCTGACTTCCTGTCCTAGATCTGGATCTGCTCCCTGTGGGCACATGCAGGTGCAAACTAAAGTCACCTCTGTGGGGGCAGGAGAGTATCCTTAAGCCTCAAGTCATCCTTACAATCTACTTTCCAAGTACAGTACCCAGAGTACAATCAAAGATAACTGTCTGGGTGGGGAGCCATGGCAACACAGACCCCAAAGCAGCACAAACAAAAGACAATGGAGATCATGGAAGACTCCAAATGTTGCCACCTCCCACACAAACCAGAGAAACAGTTTTCGAAGATCAAGTCTATGAAAGCCAAGGTCAAACATTTCGGCAGGCAATTGCCAGCTCACAAATGACACTGCAAGTGTGATTGAAAAGGGATTGGAAATTCCAGAGCTTAAAAGTATAGTAATAAATTATTTCCACAAAAAAACTTAGATAACAAGGGAAAGAATCGGTGCATTTTAAAGTCTGATGAATCAAGCCATTTGAATGATTAAGTGACTACCTAATTTTAGTTTCTTCTAGAAAGTCGAATGTGGTCAATAAAACTCCAAACTCAAAAGTATGGAAAAGACAGAAGGAATGATAAGCATCTCAAGAGTCAGGATGAAGATGCTTAGGAGGTGGGGAGGGCTACAGAGCAGAATAATGTGTAAAAAAGCAAACATCCATGCAAGCATGAAAGCCTGAGTGAGTTTGGATCACCAACACCCACATTAAAAAAAAAAAAAACCTGTGTGGAGGAGTGTGTCTGTACTTCAGTACTCTGCTGAGGGAGGATCCCTGAAGGCAAATGGCTACTCAGCCTAGCCAGTCAGTAAGGTCCAAGTGCAGTGAGAGAGACAATGTTCATAAGGTGGAGAGTGATGAGCTGTGGACCCAATCCACGTGCACGCATGTGTGTACACTGTAGATGGAGTTTTCTCTGGACCACCAGCTCACAATTAATGAAGCAGAGACTTCTTACTAATTATAAATACTTGACCTTAGCTTAGGCTTGTTTTTAACTAACCCTTATAACTTAAATTAACCCATTTCTATTAATCTACATCTGTCACTTACTGCCCATCCTCCTCCTCCATGTTTCTTTCCCTCGCCTACATTTCTTCCCCTACTTCCTTTAAACCACAGATTTTGCCTTTAAACCACTCGAGGAATATTCTAATGCATAAGGAGTGTTAGAATTGAAAGAAGAAAATAAACAACAAGGAAAATGGGCATATATGGTAAATTTAAACAAATATTGACCATATAAAACAGTAGCAATGTGTCTAAAGAGTTTCCAGTGAATATAGAATTAAAATAAATGGTAATCCATTGGAAGCTTATGACTATAATTCTAGATACTTAGTAATGCTGGTACAAAAAGCATTGCTTGAATTCATGTGTTTGAAGGCTCACTGGCACAATATCACAACATATTTAGACTATATTCTAAGTAAATAAATAAATGTTAATGTAGAATTCATAGGGTTCGGTATAGAGTTCAACGCTCTGGTCCTTGGGCTAGAGGTATAGTTAAGTCTAGCACTTTCTTCCCTTAGAGAAAAGTTTCCGAGGTCCTTGCATTGTGTAGGAAGATAAGCCAAGGATGGGTGCTAAAATGCCTAAATTCTGGAATTCTGGAAGAACAGTAAAATGGTTTGACAGCTTCTAAATTAAACCAAAGAGAAATAAAGAATGCATAATCAATCCAAAGAAGGCAAGAGAGAGGGAAGAGATCAAGATACAGATACAGCGGACATGAGAAGTAACAAGATGGGATGTGAAACTCGGTATTGAAGTAGTTGCTTGACATGTAAACTGACTAAATGTTTTAGTGAAGAGACAAAGGTACTAAGTCTGGCTTGAAAAAGTATAATATTTAAAGGGAACATAATTTGAAAGGACAAAGATTTTCTATGCTTCTGAGTAGGAAAGGTCCTTTGGAGGCTCATGTGTTAAACATGTGGTCCTTTGGAGAAGTTCTGGAAACTGTAGAGGTGGGCTGAGCTGGAGTAAACAGATCACTGGGGTGTAGTTGTGGGGGCTGTTGTCTTTTCTAGGTCCTTCTCCGTCTCTCTCTGCTTCTCATCTGTCCAGAAGCCATGTGCCACCCAACCCCACAGCCATGATGTAGTGCCAGGCTCCTGGGCTGAGCAATTGGGGAGTGAATCCTCTGGAGCCATCAGCTCACCCTTCTTTCTGCCATTCAGTTGCCTCTTGGGTGTCTAGCTTCGACAATGAGAAATCTGACTTCTGGCCAGGGCCATGCCATCTTGTAAAGCCCCCCACTTCGGTTGAACTGTGGCAGCTGCAGCACCTCTGGTCTCTTGCTTTCTAGAGTCACCTTTTCTCTAGGTTCTTAACCTTTCCTGACCAAGCAGGAAAAAAAAAAATTTACCAATTACGTGATGCTGTTTGTATTCTCAACAAGATCAACCTTGGGTCAAAAAGAGAAGCACTTCCATTTACCCTCACCTCTTTCTTAAAAATGTGTAAGGTCCCTTACACTCTTATGAAGAGGAAGCTATCCTCAGTATCCAGCCATGCTGCTGTCTGTGTGTCCACCTACGATGTTAATAACTCTTCTAATCTCAATGCAAAGAACAATCTGCCTCCAAGTCCCCCTGAAACTCCAAACTAGAAACATTTCACTGATGAACATGCCTTGGAACGCTAACCATAGAGACAGATGTAGCTATATTAGTGATAAGCAAAAATAACTTTTCCTATCCTAGAAATAGACATTTAAGAAAACGATTCAGTGTACTAGGAAAATATAAAGCTTTTAAATTTGGATGCACTAAGTAACATTCCTTCAAAATGAAAGAACAAAAGTAGAAAGAGATTAAAGGAGAAATGTGTGTGCAAAATGAGAAAAGGATATATGCTCTTAATAATTAATAAAGATAATTAATTGATAAACAATCCAATAAGTTAATATAGTCTAGCTGATACAGTAACTCAAAAATGTAGAATTATTTTAGAACAGAAGAGGAAATTTCAAAACGTTTTAGATTATTTTCTTTGAAATTTTAAATTATTAGTACTGAAATAAATTCAGTAAGATAGCAGGTCCAGTTTACAAAATTAATTTTTATGTCCATATAAATCTTAAATTTTTTAAAAATACCATGAAGAGTAAACCAGAAACTAGTGTCCAAGAATAGGCTCAATAAAAGATGTTCAGGACTGTGTATAGAAAACCACAAACATCACTGGGAGAAATATGAAGAAGATGTAAACAAATAGGGAGGTATACTCTGTATACCTCTGCATTATTTTGTTTGTGTGTGTGTGTGTGTGTGTGTGTGTGTGT